ATATTACTTATCATTACACTTTCAAACGAAATATAAATTGTGCTATACAGTATAATTTAGCAATAAATTGTTCCTTCAGCAATTAAACAAATTAAACTTTAAACAGTTTTTTTTAAAGAAACAATATTAAGAAATTTAAATTTGGTAAAGACAAAGGACAAAAATGTCAGTTTCTGGAGAATGTGATATATATTCTTTATCTTTGTTAAATTGATTAAATATTACAAGATATTAAAACAATGAACGCAAATTTCCATATTATTTATCATCACACTTTCAAACGAAATATAAATTGTGCTAAACAGTATAATTTAGCAATAAATTACTCCTTCAACAATTAAACAAATTGTTTTTTTTAAAGAAACAATATTAAGAAATTTAAATTTGGAAAAGGCAAAGGACAAAAATGTCAGTTCCTGGAGAATGTGATATATATTCTTTTGTTTTGCTAAATTGAAAGATATTAAAACAATGAATGCGAAATCCCCATATTATTTATCATTACACTTTGAAACGAAATATAAATTGGGCTACACAGTATAATTTAGCAATAGATTGTAAATTTTTTTTTTATCTTTAATTGTTAAAGAAACAAATTTAATTGCATGTAAACATTCATGCTTTGAAGATAAAGATTTAAAATTCATGCACGAGTTTTAAATTTGTGAGGAAAAAAAAGAGTATCGACTGTAATTCACCTCAAATTTGCGAAAAATAAATCATCAATTGAAACGAAAAAAGTATACCAAAATACATCATTTGAAAAAGTTTAAATTTAAACTAATAAGTATTTTAAAGTAAATGTGGATAATAAATAAAATAGTATTAATAATGAATAATAATGATAATATTAATATAATAATACTATAACTAATATAATATGACTAATTTACTGTAGATAATAACAAAAATATAGTTACTTACCACACTATAACGGTAAACATATCACTAAGTGAAAGTGAAACTAGTTGAGACAGCTTCGTTCGATACGCTTTCAGTTCAAATATGATATTCTTAGGGAATAATGATAAATTCCTTACGAAAACTTATTTACATTCGTTATTCTTTGAATATTATGGCTCTAATAAATCTCATACTCCCATCCTGTGTTACCAAGCATAGTTTAATTTATCATGAGCCCTATGCAATCGAAGTTAAATGAAGGTGAAACTAGTTGGAGACTAGGCACGTGAATATTAGTGCTGTGTGAAAAGAATCCAGAGGTGAAAATTCTACTGATTCATCAAGGGAATAAGAGGGAATTTGAAACGATAGTAGGGATAATGTTCAACAGATATCAGCAAACAGTCAGAAGTATCTTATCTAGAGAATTTTTTTTTTGAAACACGATTAGAAAAAGCGTTTATTGGATTCGCCTACGTATGATATCTTTGTTAGCTTTTTGATTTATTTTTATTAACTAATAATTGCCCTGTTCCCAACCTTTTCTTATTTAATAATTGCACTATTTCTTTTTTTATTAAAATTAGCTTTTTAAATTGTTCTTTAATGTTAAAAATCCCAGAAAAAAATTTATTATTTTATCAAAATAAAAGAATTTAAATAAAAAATCAAAGTACAATTTCAAATAAATTGATTATTAATGTAATTTGCATGTTATTAGTTTCAACTTCACAACCCTCTTAGTTTTCTAAAAAAACCGTAACTATCTGTGTACAAGTCGACTTTTCAAACCCCTAAAATTTAGCGAAAGTCAGAGGTTATAGAACAGTATTAAAATCGGACATTCGTTAATCGTGAAATATTCATGCATTATAACAATGAAACAGATGTGAATAACACCTCTTTAACAATTTACCTCTTTCAAAAACTATTTTTAATATGATATTTACAACTAATTTTGTACTATTCACTCATCTAATTTTGTTTAGATATAAATTTTAAAAAAAATATTGCTTCAAATTATGTTTTGAAAAAAATACGAATTATAAAAATTAAGAAAATTTATTCAAGAATATTTCAAAAAATATATAACAATGAAAGTTTTTTAACATACCCTAAAATTAAGAATTTAATGATTTTTGGAACATCTGTGATATATTCAGTTATCGTTAGCATGATTATATTCCGTGATAAAGATTTTACATCATTAACATTTGCTGATTTCCACAAAAAATCGTCCTCCCCTCCCCCCCAATCAAAAATTTCGAAATTCCATGCTTTTTTTTGAAAAAAAAAGAAAGTTACAACAGCATTTGAATCCCTTTTTTGCAACGCGTCTCGTATCATCGGACATATGACGTTTATGAGAGAAAGAAAATTGTTTTTGTAAGTGTTTTCGATTTGAAATATTTTTAATATGAAACAATTTTGTAGACTTCATATTTTAATCATGTTTTAATAATTTTAGAAATTTTCATATTTTTTTGTAAGAGATCTGTCGGACACTTGACATATCAGAAATTTGCTATCTCTTAATCAAAAACAGGGGGTTGATTTATTCACCTGGCATACCAGAAGTTTGCTATCTTGTGTTCAAAAATAGAGGTTCGATTTATTCACCTGACATATCAGAAATTTGCTATCTCTTAATCAAACATAGGGGGTTGATTTATTCACCTGACGTACCAGAAGTTTGCTATCTTGTATTTAAAAATAGAGGTTCGATTTATTCACCTGACATATCAGAAATTTGCTATCTCTTAATCAAAAATAGGGGCCGATTTATTCACCTGACATATCAGAAATTCGCTACCTCGTATATAAAAATAGGGGATCGATTTATGCACCTGATGTACTAAAAATTTTCCATTCCGTAATCAAAATTAGGGGGTCGACTCATACACCTAACATATCAAGACTTTGCTATCTCGTTATAAAAAATAGGCGGCGATTTTTACACCTGACATACTAGAGATTTGCTATCTCGTATTAAAAATTAAGGGTTCGATTTATTCACCTGAAATACCAGAGATTTGCTATCTAAAAAATAGGGGTTGATTTAAAAACCGGAATAAATTTATACTTAGAATTCAGTAAACAAAATATCTGGTATAGATCCTTCTAAAAGGTATTTTAGCTCACTAAATAAGTGTTAATAGGCTCATTTTGTTGCAGAAATTTAGCTGAAAAAGTGTAAAAATTGAACACATTCCTTGTGAGAATAATAAACAATTGCATTTAAGTTGGCATTTGTATTTTCCTTTTTACAATATTACAACAGAAATTAGCACTTCTGTAAATGAGAAGCTGAAATAGATGATGCTGAATTTCTGACAAGAACTGTCCTTAATAATGGTTGAAAGTAGGGTTCGAGTCCAATGGCCCCGCACTGTGAAAAAAAATAAGATCAAAACTAACAGAATATGGAAAACTTTACCGTTTTTCTGGCTCTAGGGGAACACAGAAAAGCACGGTATTCGTTCGTTCGTTGTAGTGGAACTGGGCGTCTGAGGCCTTACGGCCCTTTAAAAAGCACGGTAATTTTTACCGAAGTGCTTTTATACTGATGAATGGCTGCATCTATTTCACTTTTTTGTTTCATAACCGTCGTTGAACAGCCGACCCAATTTTAAGTACGCGACTACCAATGTTCAACTCCACAGCCTTGTAATTTTGAATCCTATCAAGAAAACAAGGGAAAGCCAGGATCAAGTATTGGAAGAAATTTTACCTTCGTTGTGGTCTTTTTTTGAGGGATCTGACCAGTATTTGCATTACACGGAGAGGAAAACCACGAAAACCTCCCACTGTTAGTCTGACGGCAAGAGAACTCTAAATAATGGTTCATCTACCACTGAGGATATTTAATGACAGCTCTGTGATCGATGCGAGCCGGTCGTACGAAATTCATATCGAGCCATTTCTGAGATTCGAACTTTATTGGGAGGTAAGCGCTCTATCCCCTGAGCCACCATGGCTCGGTTGCGTTCTTATTTCAAAGCTCGGCTAGTCAAGGTCGAAGTCAAGCTTTAGCCATGTCAAAATACTGGTAGCACAAAACATGAACATACATCCGGGGACATGGTGAGATTCGAACCTGTTACCTCCACATGCAGTTTTGTAAATTCTTTCTCTAATTTAAGCAATCTCTTCTTCTAGTTGGGAAGGGCGTATAATAAATCGTTCTTTACAATGAGCCTACAAGGCTGCATAGATGTCTACAAAAATAAATACATTCAAGGAATATTGATAGTTTTTTAGTTATGTTTTTGAAGCTGTTACTTCTTTTCACCAAACGCTATTAGAAGCGAAGATAACAGATTCGAATCAAAGCGTAACCATGTATGTGCAACAGTAAATATGTAAGTTTGGTTCACATATATATGCAAGCTCATGTGTTTTATGCAAAGAATACCTTGTATCCGGTCAAATTACAGAACAGGTGGCACAAAAAGTTAAAAAAACAGCACAAAGATATTGAACTCGCTACCTCTATGCTTCAGAACGTTTTGTGAAAGAACGAAGCCACGCAGCAATGGAGTCCCTAATAATGTATGATTGTTTAACTTGAACCCGCCGTGCAGTATTGCAATTCCGCTAATCGATCTGAAGCATAGATGTTCTGGTTTGAAACCCGTTATAACACTGGATGTATATTCTTGCTTGCTTTCGCAAAATTGCACAATCTGTTTTTCATAGTGAAAAATATTTTAAGCCCGTATTGGTGTTTACAACGAAAACCATATTTGTAACTACTCCCATAAAATATGGATAAAACAGTCGCATTAGTTTGAGATATCGGAGTTTAGTAACTCTAAAACACTTTAATCAAACATTTGAAGCCATCATTAATGCCTCTTTTCCCCCTTGTTATAACTGAGAAATTATATAAGAGTAAAAAAAAATTAGCAGTTATCTAACTTCTATTAACCATTTGAATAAACCGCCATTTTAAATAAACTATACAAGTATAAACAGATTATTACCATTCCAATTTGGTCCCGCAGTGGACTGATCGTTAAGACACGGTTCCCAGCAGATCTCCGAAGTCAAGCATCACTGGCTGCGGTCAGTGTGCGGGTGGGTGACCACTTGGATCAGTCTGCGTAGGGACCGAGGGTGTGCGGTATTGGTCCTCGTTAAACTGTGCTACCGTAAAGTGCTCGACTTCGCGCGCAGGTCGTCGGGCTACCGAAGCGGGTGTGCCATCCCTTCCGCAGAGGATCAAAATTGTGATGGTATGTCTTCGGATCATCCACCGGGATGTTTCCCAGACCGTCGCCAATAGCTCATTGTGCAGCTCTAGTGCGACGTAAATTAACAGCAACAACAACAATTTGTAAGATTATAGACATAGAAAGGTTAAATTTACCAAATAAATGGTAAAATGAGGGACAGTTGAATAAACATTTAAAAAAAATTATTATTATTTTATGATACTTGCCACCACAATTTTAATCCACTGAAAAGGGGATGGCTCCTTGCTTTGGTTGCCAATGACCTGCATGCGAAGTCAAGTACTTCATGGTCGCTTTGCAGGCTGATAAAGTGGGCACAAACCCATACATTAACCGCAGGTAGTGATGGTTGACTTCGGTGTTTTACTGGAAACCGCGTAATGACGATCTGTTCACCGCAGGACGTGATACTCAAGGCTGTGCTCTCTAACCTTTTTATCGCCTCGGACCGGTCAGCCTTTGGTTGGTTGGTTGGTTGATACTTTTTTTACGTCGCACTATAGCTGCGTAATTGGCTATTGGCGACGGTCTGAGAAATATTCCTGAAGATAATTCGAAGACATGCAGAGGGGATGGCACCTGAGGATCCCCTGCAGAGGGGATGGCACCTGAGCTTTGGTATCCCGACGGTCTGCATGTGAAGTCGAGCACTTTACTGTAGAACAGTTTAACGAAGACTGATACCGCGCACCCTCTGTCCCTACACAGGCTGATCAAAGTGGTCCCCCACCCACTTACTGACCGCTGTCAGTGATGCTTGAATTCCATGCTCAACTGGGAACAGTGTCTTTATGATAGTTCCAATGCTGGACCGGCCAGCATTTGATAATTTTCTTGCTGAGGGAGGAGATACATTGATTATTTATACTTTAAATTGTTTTGATTTAATAATTTTAATTTAATTGTATTTAAACATGATTTCAAAATAAATTACAATTACATGTGCGATGTTGGTGTGGCTTTAGGTGTCGCCCCTCTTCTCGCCCATTGAAAGTTGTACAAACCCGCGAGAAATACATCACATTAAATGAAATAAAAATAATTAAATTTTCTTAGGCGGCAAAGTACCATTTGATTTGTGACCCGGGATTTGGAGACGTTAGAACATGGCAAAAAAACCATTTATTTCGATAAATTTACTTTTCAGTTTTGTATTTGTAACTAAATGAATTGTAATATTAACTATGATTTGGAAAAGCAGAATTTCCGGGAAACAGTAGCAACAGCAAAAGGTAAAATTGCAATATGGATAATTTGAATACCGTATATTTTGG